TCCTACTATTTGGATGAAAAAAATGAAGGTGCAAGCTAGATTTGTATCATACATGAACACATACATGAACACAATGTCTGGAAATAAACAAAAAGGAAAACATGCACATGGTCAGAAGCAAAGAACATGGAAGGTGGTGGCATGAACAAATGTAATTGTACACAAGAAATGTTTTCTTTTATCGCTACAAACTTTTTGTACACGTTAATACCAGTTGTCGAGTACATCATGATGGGCACCTTTTTGGAAAATTGGATGATAGTTTGTCTGATTTTCTCATAGAATGTACCCCACTTTACTCTTTGACAAAGCAAAATCAGGAAATAGGGGAAAATCTACACATTAAAATACAGACAGCAATTAAAATGTTATTTGGTTTTATGATCGGGTGAAGGGAGGGGAAAATCCCACAGACATAGATATAGACCGCTATAAAAACCCGACAGATGTTGAAAACCCTCCAAAACAATCCAAAACTTAATTAAAAAAAAAAAAAGTTTGGCTGAAGTAGGACTTTAAAAGCTTTATCTTTCTTTTACCACATTTGGTTATAAACAAGGAACATACCTAATAAAAATTAACAAAAAAAAGTCAATGTGTCTAAGAAAACACAGCAGCTTTTTTCTTACTTTTATAATTAAAGGGCCAGAAAAAAAAACCTGAACCATGGTTTGATACTATATTTAAAAAAGTATAGTGTAATGGAACAAATTATATTAAGTACACGTTTTAACCAATGGCTTTTACGCATTACAGGACTCGAATGGTAGCCACAGCGAAGAACTATCTCAGGAGGCATGGCTCAGCACTCAATATACTGCACAAATTCATAAATAAGGGTCATTAGGTATTACAAAATCCCCTTACAGTTCAAGATCACTTTTGTGATTATGGAGGATTATATATATATGTATATATATATATATATATATATGTGTGTGTGTGTGTGTGTGTGTGTGTGTGTGAACTTTTCTAAAAGTGAACAATAATTTACACAGAAACAAGAAATATGAGCAACTGGTAGTTCTTAAATATACATCTGCCTTAAAGTACTAGTTATAACAATGTGCTCTGAAGTAATAATTAGGCAATATCACTAAAAACACATAGGAGTACTCTATGGCAGTGTATGCTGCAGTCTACACTTGTAGTCCAATGCAGATAGTACCCTCTGACTTGGGATTTTAGTCCCATGACTCTGGCATAGTGGTCCAACAGACTCCATTATAACAGATCGCATCCCAAAATCTTTAGTATTCTGAAATGTATTTATAGACATCAAAGTCTTAAGATATACTGATATTAGCTATTGTTCTATTTTTTTTTTTCTTTGAACAAATGATCCTTAGTTGAAATTTCGATGTTCCTTCTATCACGCATTTTCAGGTCTAGGCACAGACCATGAAAACTGTCAAAAAGTAACATATGTAGACTTTCTTACTTTGATTTGTAAAAATATAACAAAATAGCTTGGTTTGAAATATTATTCTCACAGGGATTAAACTTCATAAAGGCCATCTTGTATGTCAGTTACTGAAGCACTTCCCTGCCATAATTTACACACCCATAATTAAAAAGTTTTACACTGGCTCTTCTGTCTTGTATGTTCTTATCAAAAATTGTTAAACAGCTTTAAAATAACAAAAAAAAAAAAAAAAAACAACACTTTTTGCACTGGCTCACTCATGGCAGACTTCCCTGAGAACATACTCTCAGAGCTACATAACATGGCAAGTCTGATCTGGTAAAAGCAAACAACTTTGCTTTTAAAGGATAACTGTACTTTTAACATACATTAGCTCTTTTAATATAGTCAGGGACATTTTGCAATGTTGCAGAAATTTCATACCTTTAACTGTTCTGTTTGTAACAAGATCAATAATCTCCGGTTCAGGCCATTGTAAACATTGCCCTTTTACATATAGCCTGCCTGTAGTCTGTACTGTTTAACAGTACAATGAAGACATAACCAGATTTAGCATCTTAAATGCCAGAAGTCATACATTAGTCCTTTTTGAATTATAAATATTCAAAGTATTTTTAAGTAATCGCTAGGGGATTAGATTACAAACTGCTAGAAGCAGGTAGATCTCACATGAGTTTAAATACACACTAGGCCAACCCCCTTGGCATGCCCTATCCTACATGATTGTAGGCAGCCAATTGTGAAAAGCAGAATATACAACCAGAGGTGTTCTTGGTGCCTCCTCTCTGTATGTCATGGTCTGAGGCATGCTGAAGTTTTTGTACAGTGCAAACAGCAGACAGTTTGAATGTATACAAAGTAGTGCTTACACTGGCCTGGGTCTATGATAATAGTTGTAAGCTCCAAGGATCAGGCCCTCCTATCCCTCTTGTATGGAACTGTATCATTGCTCAATGCTTTACAGTATAACGGGAGACAATACAGCAAACTGTTGGCGCTAGATAAATCCTGTATAATAATAATAATTTTGAAATCACAGGAGAATGTAGAGGTAAGAGATTATATTTATAAAGTAGCTCAGAATCCCTGGGTATTTTTAAAAAGGCTAATCCTTCCAAAAAAAAAAAAAAAAAAAAAAAGTCTTCTGTTTACAAAAGTACGGTGCTGTTCCTGTAAAGTTTTAGGTGTGTGGATGTAAACCCGTGTTTTTGGTCAGACAGGGTCCTATTATTGCTTAGTTCAATATTGCACGTCACTGAATTCCTCATTGTGGAGGAAACTTTAGTCTCAGTGCTAAAAGAAATAGGGACTAAAGGCTATACAACATGTCCCACTGGCATCTGTTCAGCATTTAGTTTGGTTAAAGTATATTTCCACTTTTGCAGCCAAACTGGGATGGCACCTACCTTCTATTTGTTACATGTTCTCGTATAACGTCTTGCCATGCATTTACTTGCTCTCACATGTAAACTCAAAAAATGAAGTTTTCCTCTGCCATGCAGAGGGATCCTGGATGTTAATGTAACCCTTGTCTATACTGTGCTGGGAGATCTCATTATCAGTTGTTAACTAGATTTGACTGCTGTCTGCCCTAACAAAGGATAAAGATCTAGGAACTGAATCACTATAGCTAGATCATGGCAGTCTCCAATGGTTCAGTGAGAATTATTGAAGACAAAGATGTCTTGGGTCATGATCATTGAATGCCTATCGGCACTCTTAAATGAGAGGCTGCCTTTGTTTGAAAAAACGTGAGATCCTTGAATCGGATACTTGACGGGTAATACTGAACTAGAAACATTTCTACCGGCTTTGGAGCGGATGCCTTCCCCTCCCACTACTTTTCTTTCTTCCTTTGTCTACTATACCCTCATTGACTTATCTTCATCGATTTACACATGGTTTTTTGAGACTTTGCATTACCTATGGATAACTTTTTGATATCCTAAGTATCAGACAGCATAATACTGGAGATAATGGACCCTCTGGGTCTGCTGGTCAAGTCATGAGGGACTTTGTCATCGGCTTTCTACTCAGCATTCAGGGACTATTCTTATTCATGCATCTTGTTATGTAATTGTAACCAGATGATTTAGTCTATTGTACTTTCATATCTTCTTCATGTGTACTTCATTTGTTTACTGAAAATGTAATTAAAAAAACATTGAAAGTGACCTAGGAGCTGGGTTTCTGCATGTTATGTTAATGAGGGGAAACTCCATGTGTCCCTCTTTGTCAGGGGACACATACTGAGTTTTCTTTCATTTCAAATTTCTCCAAGTGGCTAGTTGCGTATAATCCAACAGATGCCTGCTCCGAGCAAACACTTAGAAGGAACATACAAAAAAAATTATAAGTATTGTAAGTGAATGGGAACACATAGCAAACATATAATGGGTTTTTCTCAAATTTGGCTGCAAAAGTGGAAATACACAAACACTGTCCCTACACTGAATTTACCAACAATCTGTGTAGTACAGACTGAAATCTGTTTCCTATAAAATTAACAGAAATTAAAAGGTACACAGATACCAACAGAACACATCTGTGAAAAAATGCAATGCTTTATTACTTGCAGCATGTTTAAGTCTACTATTCTAGGTCTTCCCAACAGTACTGACTGGGTCAGCAAACATTGATAATTCACACTTAATGCATTAAAAAAAAATCATAGCTAACTAATATGTTTTTGAATACACTTCCCTCATTGGTTTAATCAATAGACCTGTAAAAACAAAACACTGTTTGAATGTTATCACTTGCAGGAGGGCCCGGATAACTTTGTGCTATAACTGCAGACTCTATACTATAGTTAAAGCTGATGGAATTGTAAATAGTTCACTAGAAGTCTGTGGCAGCGACTTGTCACTTTCAAGCATAATGAAATCACAGTGTTTTACACCAAAAATGGAGCTTACAGTAGCATTATAAAAAGTGATGATAGAAGACTATGATGCAGGAAAAATGCATTAGTTTATAAAAATTTGTAAATCCCTATTTTTTACACAAACAAAATTAACAAATCAAATTATTCTTGGTTTTAATTGGAAGCAGTGAATGAAAAAAACCCCGAAATCAGTGCATTATACATCTCCAAATGGGTATACATCTGTATATTAATATACAGCTAATTATATTTACATTTCCACATTTATATTTTGTAATAAAAAAAACTGAAATTTCATTACATTAAGGGCATTTTGTGAGCTTAAAAAAAAAACATTAAAATTTCCAAAGTGATGCTATCGTGCACTTGCAGATATACGATAAGGAATAAGTCACCTTTTTTTCTGTAAACAGTTATTCAAAAAAAGTAGAAAAATCACAGCGTAACAGCAGTAAAAAAAAAGGCACACAACAACATAAGTGCATGTACCATGATTTGGTTTTCTGCTATATTTGTTCGGCAGTTTGGCTGCCCATTCTCCCCCTTAGTCCCGGAATGTACGCTGCTCTAACATTTCATCATTAGATATGCAAGCACCTCTGTGTGGATTCCTTATACCGTTGAAGAGATTACCAACATCAGGACAAGCTCAAAATTATGAGAGATGCATTGTCCCCTAAAAACAATTTAATTTAGTATTAAAGATGTAGCTTGCTTGATCACAGAGGCAGCTGTATCCAGTTCTTCATCTGATTGTTCTACTGTGACTATCACTCGTAGGCTGCAAAACACCCAAAAGAGAAAATATGAGCCACATAGTACATGAGACAAATGATGCTGCATCTATTGACAGGCTGCTTTTAAATACTGACGTTTTAAGACAATATAACAGATGTTTAAATATGACATGTACACAGACTATAAGAGTTTATCTGTCCAGAAGATTTTCTGGTACAGTGCATCTATGTTTTTATATAGATTTATGATGAGACAACTCTAGAGTCAATCAATCCTGAACCAACACTGAAGTGTCACTGCTGTATTGACCCCTGGTGTTTACCATCCAGACTACCAATTTAGATATTAAACACATTTTCTTCACTAGCATTTAAAGTGATTGTAAAGGCTCAAGGTTTTTTTTTTTTTTTTTTTTTTAACTTCATGCTTTCTATGAATAAAGGTAAAAAATATTCTGTGTGCAGCAGCCCCCCAACACTCACCTGAGCCCCCTCTTGATAAAGCAATATGCACGGGATCCTTGGCTGTTCCTGGTCTCCCTCTCCTCATTGGCTGAGAAAGCAGTGGGAGCCATTGGCTGTCAATCACAGCCAGTGAGGAGAGAGCAGGGGCAGGGCCAAGCCATGATTCTAAGTGTCTTATGAACGCATAGAGTGGGGCTCGGGAGCGAACATACACCAGTGCCCCCACAGGAAGTTGTTGGGCGAGGAGCCATGAGTGCTGTCGGGGGACCAGAGAGGAGGATTTGGGCCGCTCTGTGCAAATCCATTGCACAAAGCAGGTAATTGAGCATGGCTTTTTTATTATTCTTTTGGAAAAAAATTTTTAAAAATCTGAACCATTAATATCACTTTAAAAGGTGCTTGGAATGCATTTTGAGCCCATGACAAGCACCCTCTTAATAACACATTTGAAAGAATGTACCAAGTTGAAACATCCCTATACATTTGGTTGGTATGTGGCTTCTTGTCACAGTGGCTGAAACATTGAGTGCAATGTTAAAGTGGAACTGCACTGCATCTGAGCACCACAAAGCAAAAATGCTATTTAATTCATTGTTAAAATTCAGAGCAAACTCACCCATCCATCTCTCTATGCTTTATTTTTCTGAGAAATCATTTTGAAATAATGCACCCTGGCATTTCTGGCAATAGCCATCTTGAGTAAGGGCATATGATCCATTGAGCATTTACTTCCTGGAATCCACCTGCCCCTAGCTCAGTCATTGGCTGAGCTGAGAACCCTCCCTCCCCTCCTGAAGACTCCTGGGATGTAATGTCTAGGCATGGAAACCAGGAAGTAACTAATGAAATGTATATAAAAAAAAAAAAGTAGTAGTTTAAAACAAATAAATATGATATACTTTCCTATTCATTTATTAATGCTAGCAGTATGAGGATTAAAAATAGTCCATGTTGACAGAGAGTGAAGTTCCACACCATAGAAACGCAGTCCAGATGCGTTCCGGATAAGTTTTCACATGCACTTTTTTGATGCGTTCCGGTTCATTTATTCCCCCCCCTCTTTTTCTTCAATGTAAATAAGGACATGTGCATTCCAGTGCATTTTTGATGCGTTTTACCATAGTTTCCAGTGCAGTTCTGTGCAGGAAAAATGTAGCCTGTTCTACTTTTTTTTTCTGCAACTGGAACACACTGGAACTGCAAGCACTGATGTAAACTATGACAACCATATTACCTACTTTCTGTGCGTTTTGGAGGCAGAAAAAAAAACCACTGAAATGCATGTCATGTGAAATGGCCCGAAAAGCCTGACAGACTGCACCAGCCTACTGATTAAACACTGCCTTCACCACTGGGTCCTCCTGGTGAAGGGAGACAATACAGAACATAAGTGAATTGTTGACCAAACCTACACTAGTGCTGTAAGACAAACTCAACCCTTTCACCTCTCACAGGCTGGCGTGTATCCACTTTGATTCCCTGAAATCAGCCGGGTGTCAAGGCCTTGAAGTCAGCTCTTGCGCCACTGTAATCCACCATCCAAGCAAGGGGCCGTAATTCGAAGGTGGTCAACTCGAGCCAAGGTTTACTGCACACTGCTCACTCCCATCCAAAGCCATGCCCTCAACATGTTTCACCCACAGCAGGGCTTTACCATTGGGAGGCTGAAATTGGATGCCTTTGGTGTACGGCCTGTCATTTGGATGGTGGACTATACCCAGTGCTAGATCCACTTTAACTTCTTACAAAAACCACTACTACATAGTAAGAATAAGATTAAAGGAATGCTAATCAAGCCCATGTAAGACTACCAAAGTTAAAAATATTAAAACTAGAAAGTCATTTTTGTTTTATCCAGACAGTAAACGTGAAGAACAGTTTGAAATGTACAGCTATTGGGATCTCTGAAGGCAGCTCTAAAGAAAAGGAGGCTGGCATGGACTTTGCTAGTTTGGAAGCTTATGTCAGCTTTAAATTGAAAACATGATTGCATAGAACTGATTGGTCCAAAGCAATCCACCACCTACATTTTCCACTGTTCTCATTTTCATAGACGGAATAATTAAAACTGGGGTGGATATTGATTGAAAAGGTTTTTCAGCTGGCATTCTTGTGGTTTTAATCAAATTAAAGAGGTGTGAATTGTTTGGTTGCTTGAATGTGAAAAACAATATAGTGGGTGACAGATTGCAGCAAAAATGCCTTATTTTAAAGCAGGTACAACAGTTAAAGTGTTAATAAACCCAGGAGCCTGCATTCACTCTATCTGGTCTTCCAAAGTACACAGAAAATGGAAATGCAATTATTTTAGTAAATGTAAACTGCCAAATACCTTTTCTCATCAGCAGTTAGAGCAGTCTTGTGACTTCTACAAACTTTAACCAGTGTTCTGCTAAACACTGATAGGAGTTTTCCTTCTGCTCTAGGAGGATGCAGAACCCCTGACCTCTGTTTGGACAGAGCTGATTGACCCTGTGCTGATCACATTCTCAGTTTGGTCTCTATCAATACACACCAAACTGAGAATGTGCAGAGTGTCTCCACACGATATATGTCTTATCAAGAGCTAAGAGGGGGGCACTGGAAGAAGGGGAGGATCAGAGAAGTCAGGACCAAACAGTATTTTTACACAATGCAGATGATTAACCCCTTAGGTTCCATTGTGAGTATAACAAGCATGCTTTACTGCATATACAGACTCATTGGGTAGAAACAACATAATACTTTTTAGTTAATAAACGGTTTATAGCTTACTATAGGTGTGCAGACGTGTATGCTTTCAGTAAGAATAATAGTCCTGTAATTAGGCAAATGTCCATTCTGCAGACAGAAAGCTATAGAGTTTTCTTTAGTCATACATATTTGATCATTAAATCATAATAAATCTACCTGGTTTAGCATTAGATAAAACCGATACAACATCCCTTTAATTTTGAATGTTTGTTTTTAGCATTAAAGCAATAACAATCCCCACTGAAAATACAACTATTAAAACTACAAATACTAACCTTGGCGGTGGAAGATATTTTTCTTCTTTTTCCAAATAACGAGCTTGGGTTAAGGCAATTTTCCTATTCATGCACTGCACGAAAAATTAGTTGTGATTAAGGTATTATAAAAAGATATCACACAGCAAATAGGGCAATGCATCATATATGCTATGTCTCTTATTCCTAGTCCAATGACTACTGTCCTCAATCCTCGAGGTAAGTGAAAGGAGCACTAACTATCCACCTGTGCTGCTCCCTGGTAAGTGTTTGTTTGTCGAGTGACCTTGGGATATATGTCAAGGTCTATGAACATCCTAAAGCTGGTCATACACTGATGAAAATTCGGCTGGGAAAGCAGCAAGGACCAGCTGAATTCCAATCAGCTTGTGCCCATCCCCGCTAGACAGAAGTTTGATCAACTTCTGATGAAGGGATGTTTTGGAAAACTTTTCTTGATCAATGTATTGGGACAGTGGCAGGTGCTGCTTTAAGAATACAATATCCCGGGGGTGGGGGGTGGTTGAGGGATGGGGAATGATGGAGGATTCCTCTATCCACAACGTTTGTGGGAAAGTTAACAATGTATGGCAGATTTAGCAATCAGAAATATCCTTAGATTAAAAAAAGAAAAAAAAAAAAAAAAAAAGAGAATTCCCTAAGGAATTCAAGTCTTGTAATAATATGACAAATACTGCACTTCATCATTGCAAACTGAAAAAAGATGCCATAGATCATTTCTTAGTTTCCTTATAATACCAAAGGGACTAAAACTTGTGAAACTTGACTGTTTTAAACAGTTATTCAAAAAATTAATTTTAAGGAAGTACCAATTCAGAAAACAAAAAATTGTACCGATTGTATTACAAAAAAAAAAAAAAAAAAAAAAAAAAAAAAAAAAAAAAAAGGGAGCTCCCCTCCTGGCTCTTTCCCTTAGCCTTTCCTACGATAACATTCTGCCCAGCTCTCCTTTGCTGGTTTTCTAGATTAGTGTTTCTCAACCTTTTTTTAGTCAAGGCACCCTTTAAAAATGATGGACAGCCCCGAGGTACCCCATTCTAAAATGTAAACAATTATTCTAATAGTTTTGTACAATGCAGCAACATCCACACATGTAGGACACCCAACATTAGAGGGGATTTATTCTTCCAAAGCAAATACACTTTAGCACACATGTACTGACTAGTATTCCAGTGTTTCTCTATTTCCCCAGTTTTTCTCCATCACTGAGCTAATGTGGCCCCAGCACTGGCAGAGAGGGGTGGGGTGGGGGGGTCAAACAAGGATGCTATGCAGGCAACAGACATCCTCCTTATCAACTGATGTCATTGGTTGTCAGGATGCTAGCGGCTAGGTCAAAATGGTGCACATTGAAAACCTGTGGCTTCATGTAACTATAAGGCAGGCTTGTATACAAGTTTTGGGAAATTTGTAGATATTTTGCAAAGGCACCCCTGAAGAAACCTCAAGGCATTCCAGGGTGCCTGGCCACATTGGTTGAAAAAGGCTGGTCTACATGCTTGAAGGGCATAAAGGAATTTGCTGTTGAACAGATGCATCTGATCAATAATATAAATTGATTCTTTGCAGTATACTGATGACCTGTTGTAGAGTTATGAAATTAAAAGTCCCAGCAGGCTATTCAACTTTATTAAGCTCCAACATGCCAAAAGAATTATGGCTGTACTGATATAAACAAAGTATATTTCCTGAGGGAGAGCAAAAGGATTTACTTTTATATTATTTAGCCTATAGATCACTCTCTGGCCAGAGCATGCTAGGACTTATTTTACAACTTCAAGAACATTTTCAAATAACGTAAATCCATATTGCATTTTAATAAATATGGATTTGTCATCTGCTGTACGTCACTGCCCTTGAATTAGACAACACTAGCCTCACTCAGAAAGGTACCTGGGTGACAATACATTCCCTTTAACTAACCTCACCTCCAAAAACCCAACTCCATAATCTACAACCTTCACATTTTAGGAAACAGCATCTCATTCTAAGCTGTTGGGTATCAGGAGGTTTCTCTGCACACTTTATGGACTTGACATATACTAGAGAGACTAAGACTTTGAGGTTGCAAGCTGGTCGCCTTTTGGGAAGTAATGACAACACTAAACTCACTTTCACATTAATCCTTATTATACCCAGTTTCAATCAAACAAGGTTGCGGGTGTGTATTGATCCTCATTCCCAGCTGAAGTCAACAATGATTTAGCCAAGCCATTTATTAAAGAAAACCACAGTATGACACAAAAACTACAGCCTATATCATGGGAGAGGGATCACATTTCATCATCCTATGGCAAGGGGTATTTCTGTGTAAAATCACAACACTAGTCTCAAAGGATATGGTTGAAAGGGTCAAGGAAAAATCTGCTGGATCTGGCAATGATTAGTGTCAGTTATTATAATACTTTGTCTTTGTACATATGTGGGAGTTTACAATCAGTCAGAGTATAAATCAATGGTCATTTACAGCACTTACATGATCTACAATATCTTGTAGCAGTTTCGTATCTTTTTCCCGGCATCCGGAGCTGTTCTCTAACTGCAGATGAAATGCAGGGGAGAAGCTCTCTCCCACAACTTTCAAACCCTGAATACTGAATAAAACCAATACAAAGTCACAGGATTATTTACAGAAAAACTTTGTTTATCGAAATATAAAAGGAAAAGGCATCTTCTAGATGTATGGCTAAGCTTACTGGACTTGTTTTCATGAAGTGGTAAGACATTTTTTTTTTCTACCAGAGCCTTCTGGTGTTATTGGAATGCCCCTATCTGCATATTATCTCAAGTACGTTCCCCCATATAGCAGTGCCACATGAAATCCAAAGTACACACTAATAGTTTCATTTAGATACAATATTAATCCATCTAAACATTCAGACCTTCAAGCAATCTAATAAAAAAAAAAAATGGGATAATAATCCTGTTATTTGAAAACAGAGTGGCAGAAAGTTATTACAAAAAGGGAACACAAGCATAGGGGAATTTAGTGTAAAATCTAATTTATCTTTGAACACATACTAGTAATAGGAAAGAGTCAGGGGCGGACTGACCATTTGGAAACTCGGGCACTGCCCGAGGGCCTGGGGTCAGTAGGGGGCCCCATGAGATGCCCCTGGTACCTTTTTCATAGGCTTTTTTGAGTTTGGAAAAGGACATAGGGGCCCCATGATCCCCTATTGCCCAGGGGCCCCATGAGTTGTCAGTCCGCCCCTGGAAAGAGTACATTAACAGTACACAGAAGCAGGAAACTTTCTGAGCCCAAAAGCAGAATGTGAATCAAGGCTTCTCATTATTAACAACACTGAAGTAGAATTCAAGGTTTTGTTTCACTTTAAATCGTTTGTATGGGCCAAGCCATACAAGGTTTCCTCTGATTGGCTAAGGTGGAGAGGCAGGCAGGACATTTTGATTTCCACTTTGGACAAACAGAGGAAGCCTTGTATTCATTGATAAAAATACAAGGCTTCTCCTGAATGGCAGAGGCATTAAGCCCAACCCAATCTAATTCTGGCAAGAGAAGGGGAATTGCCAGTACTGACGCTGGAACACGATTACTGTATGTGGCCAATGCTACTATACAGTCCATTACAGTGCACACAGCAGCTGCATCATTCTGTTTTGGAAATAGTCCATTTAGGTCAGCTTGGCACAAACTAACTATATAAAATGAAGTAAAAACTGGAATTCCACTAAAAACATACACTGAAATGCTTTCATTCAAGTTGTCAAATCAATCAGCATAACAAACAAACATGCTAATTATGCTTTCAGTTGAGCAACTGGGAAAAGAAACAGGCATTCCTGAATAAGAACAAAAAATGTGCTCCAAGCCAGTGGGCCTGGTATTAGCTGCTACATCAGTAAAACACAACTGCCAAGAGAAAAACTTTGCTATAAATGTATATAATATACTTGTAAACGTAAAGCATTTTTAATTAAAATGGCATCTTTTGAAAAATATAATGCTTTGTTTCTATTCCTTTTATTATACCAGAAGATAAAAATAAATCTGGCTTTGTTTCAATATATTATAATCTGTGTACATCAGGAGTAAAGGGGGTCATGGCAATGCCTTTTTATTCTGCCAGTTCAGGCAACTAACGACTCCTTTTATTGTAAACAGATTTTTTCTACTTGGGTTTCAGAAACACAACACTGTTAATGTGTGAAAATCACTGTTTTTGGTAGTGGCAAACCTTAAGAAAAGAAATGTCCAGCACAGTGATGGATGATAATTTATTACCCAGTCACTAAGGGGGAGATTTACCAAAAAACTGGTACAGCTATGCATGGCAGCCAATCAGCTTCTAACTTCAGCTTGTTCAATTAAGCTTTGACAATAAAACTTGGAAGCTGATTGGCTTCTATGCAGAGCTGCACCAGTATTTGCACTCTCCAGTTTTAGTAAATCTCCAAGTGCCAATTAAAACTGTACTACATTCTGTAGTCAGCATATGGAAACTGTATGTTTGAAATTCAAAGCAGGTCATTTTTACTGAATTATTTTGTAGTTCAAGCTCACTTGCTGAGTTTTGTTTTGCATTTTTCAAGCTGTTAACACATAACTTCTAGAGTTCCTGTACTCCCTGGAGTGTCCAAGATTACAATGATTAGAGAATACTGCACAGGGTCAGAAGGAATGTGATGATGACTGAACGGTGACCTCACCAGCAGCCTTAAAGTAGAGGATAATGCTCCTGGACCATTATTCCTATAAGTAGTCTGAAGTTTCCCACTACCTCCAGGCGATCCTGAGTCATTAATGAAGCTCAAGGAAAAATTACAGACAGCTAGGAGAGGATTGCTGAAAGTTTTTGGTGGGTCAAATGGGATTGGAGACATCTGCCACATTTCTTGTGAAGACTGCAGTTGCCTAAGGCTTTAAGCCAAAACAACCTCAGTGAGAGAAGAACACCACTTACACAGAAGAACTTGCTTTTAGTTCAAAAGGATATTTGACAATTGTGTCTGCAATCTAAGACCATATTGCTGTTAATCACAGATAACAGAAGGTGTAAAAAAAATGAAAAGGAAATATGCTTAAAAAAAGGACAGGTGGTCAGAATTGGCTTTCTTTGAAGCTCTATATCACAGTGTTCTGCGTATTTTCACCATTAAATTCAAACTTTCAAATTCTCATTGCAATGAAACCTTAACCGTACATAAAACCACATGTTTCCATATTGACTTTTGTCCTTACTTGACACATTTTTCTCAGCATCACTAAGCGTTTATTTTTTTTTTTCATCCATTCAGTCACTTTTTTTTTTTGTTAGAAAACCAGATCTGGAGTTCAGTTTTTACAATGACCTTTTCTAATGACCCCCCAATCCATACCCGGCCCTTCAGGTCTGGAATTGTTTTTTTAAGGGGAACCCCACAACAAATAAAAACAGTGGATGAGCACCATGTTGATGGGGGCAAGGGCCTCTTCCCTACAACCCTGGACGGTGGTTGTGGGAGTCTATGGGCAGGTGGGCTTTTCGGAGTCTGAAAGCCCCCTTTAACAAAGGATCCCATGCCCCCCCCCCCCCAAAAAAAAAATGAATGAGTATGCGGTACATACCCCTATTCATTTACCAAAAAAAAAAAAAAGACAGTAGGCAGTTTTTGGTGTAGATCCATCGTCAATCACAATGCTCCCCACCACCGCCAACCCAACGCCAACTTTTTCTGTTTTTAAAAAAAAAAAAAAAAACTTGTGAAAAACTGCCTACTGTCTTTTTTTACACTACACTTTTTTCTTGGTGAATAAGGGTACTTGTCAAAGGGGGCTTCCGATAAGTCCCCAGCCCACAGACCCCCACAACCACCGGCCAAGGTTGTGGGGAAAAGGCCCTTCTCCCCATCAACATGAAGACTAGGTGCTGTTTGGGAGGGGCGCAGAATCCCCCCTCCCCCGCATACTTAGGGCATGTGGCCTGGTATGGTTGGGTGGGAGGGGGGGCTCGCTGGCTTCCCCTTTTCATACCTGCCAGACTGCATGCTTAGATAGGGTCTTTTTTACAAAATTTGACCGAAAGGTTCTGGTATGGATTGGGGGAGGGACCCCATGCTTTTTTTTTTTAACAATTTTTTGATTGCGGCAATGTTTTTGTTTTACATTCAGCTGTCAGCAGGGAACCCCACTGACAGCTGATGACTCATCTGTTAAGGACATGGCAGCTGGCTTGCTAACCTGCTCCTTAGCAACCAGCTATTCTTCAAATAGAACTCGGATCGATCAATCAATTTTTGACCAATTCAATTTATAATTGTTCCAAAACTTAGAAATTCATTAGAAAATGAATGTAAAATGGATGTACCCAAAAGATGTAAAAACTCTTTCATCCGATTTTCTAAAAAAAAACAACAAAAAAAACAAAAAAAAAAACCTAAAAAACCCCCAAAAACGTGATTGAATGGATGAGGAAAACGGAACACCTGTGTGAAAGGACCCCAAGGAAGATTTTCAAATTGGATAGCAAATACCTAGAGCGGCCCTTCCACCTATGTCTGCTTATTCAGGGTGTCCCCTCTCTTCCTTAAATTGCTGCATAAAAGTACCTGTGAGACAAAAATATCTAGATAATATACTTATCTTTCCTTTACTTAGGGGGTGAAGTCATCAGTGGGAACATCCCTGGGAATGCTGGGTAGACCAAATGTCATGAGAAGCCACTGCATAGTGTAGAATCATCTTCTCCAGAGATTTGGGCTACCCAACATTCTCAGTGATCTGGCCAAGAGGAAGTTGTTAAAGGGAAGTCATTTGTCTAAATTTTTTTTTTTTTTTTTCTTTTACTACTTTTTAATTTTACACCTTTACAACTTTTTACAATTCATTTTTTGCAACATTTTAAGGAAAGGGGGGCAACTTGAATAAGTGGAGCTTGCGACTAAGGTGAGAGGTCTGTTTTAATTCTACAAAAACAGTTTTTGTAATTAGATGTATTTTCAGCAGCACTAAACCTATTATTTACAGACAAGAGAGTGGTCAGCTTAACCTCTGATCTGCAGTTGCCATGGTGCAGTACATGTGATCAGTTAGGATACCAGTTATTTGATGGCTTGACAGTTCGGTTGAGGGCATAAGCAAATCTGACAGTTATTATTCACAGCATGCCTTGAATGTAACGGTTTTGGGAATCCATTAAATTGATGGGTTTAATTCTACTTTAACCACTTGCCCTCCAGAGGATTTACTCCCCTACCTGACCAGGCCACTTTTTGCGATATGGCGCTGCGTTACTTTAACAAACAGTTGTGCAGTCATGCAACATTACACCCAAATGAAATTTCTTTTTTTCCCCACAAATAGAGCTTTCTTTAGGTGTTATTTGACTGTCAGAGTGCTTTTATTTTTTGAACTATAAACAAAAAAGACCGACAATTTTGAAAAAAAAAAACACAATATTTTTTTACTTTTTGCTATAAAAAACATTCAGTAAAAAAAGTTTAAAAAAAAAATCAAATTTCCTAATAAAATGTATTCTGCTATATGTCTTTGCTTAAAAAAGTCCCAATACGTGTAAATTAATTGGTTTACATGAAAGTTATAGCGTCTACAAATGGCAGTATATATACTGTTATTTTTTTTTTATTTATTTTTTTTTAATACTAGCAATGGTGGCGATCAGCAACTTCTAGCGGGACTGCGGCGGGCATTCTGACACTGGGTGGGAACTGTCAAACCATCACTGACATCCCCCCCAGTGAAACTAATACAGTGATCTGTGCTAATAAAAAGCACTGACACTGTACTAATGACACTGGGCAGGAAGGGGTTAACATTAACATGTGGGGCAATCAAAGGGTTAACGGTGTGCTGTGTGTGTTTCACATAGTGTGCTGTTTTACAGTGTAAGCACGCTGCTTTGTATTGCTCTGCTATGCAGAGCAATACAAAAGCAGAATGCTGGTGCCGACAGGGAAGAGATCTATATTGTTTACTTACAGACCTCTCCCGTCAGTGTTCCTCAGCAATGACGGGGTATCTCCGGCCAGGACCTGGTGATCGGCAGCTGTAGACGCCAATGGCGGTGCGGGTAGGGCGGAGCGCGCCCCCCTACCCAGAAATACAAAATCACGTATACAGGTGAAACTCGAAAAATTTGAATATTGTGAAAAAGTTAATTTATTTCAGTAATGCAACTTAAAAGGTGAAACTAATATATGAGATAGACTCATTACATGCAAAGCAAGATCGTTCAAGCCGTGATTTGTCATAATTGTGATGATTATGGCTTACAGCTCATGAAAACCCCAAATCCACAATCTCAGAAAATTAGAATATTACATGCAATCAATAAAACAAGGATTGTACATAGAACAATATCGGACCTCTGAAAAGTATAAGCATGCATATGTACTCAGTACTTGGTTTGGGCCCCTTTTGCAGCAATTACTGCCTTAATGCGGCGTGGCATGGAAGCTATTAGCCTGTGGCACTGCTGAGGTATTATGGAAGACCAGGATGCTTCAATAGCGGACTTCAGCTCTTCTGCATTGTTCAGTCTCATGTCTCTCATCTTTCTCTTGGCAATGCCCCATAGATTCTCTATGGGGTTCAGGTCAGGCGAGTTTGCTGGCCAATCAAGCACAGTAATCCCACGGTCATTGAACCAGGTTTTGGTGCTTTTGGCAGTTTGGGCAGGTGCCAAGTCCTGCTGGAAAATGAAGTCAGCATCCCCATAAAGCTCGTCTGCAGAAGGAAGCATGAAGTGCTCCAAAATCTCCTGGTAGACGGCTGCGTTGACCCTGGACTTAATGAAGCGCAGTGGACCAACACCAGCAGATGACATGGCTCCCCAAATCAACACAGACTGTGGAAACTTCACACTGGACTTCAAGCATCTTGCAGTGTGTGCCTCTCCATTCTTCCTCCATACTCTGGGTCCTTGGTTTCCAAATGAGATGCAAAAATTGCTCTCATCAGAAAAGAGGACTTTGGACCACTGAGCAACAGACCAGGTCTGTTTTTCTTTAGCCCAGGTAAGACGCTTCTGACGTTGTTTGTTGTTCAGGAGCGGCTTGACAAGAGGAATACCACATTTGAAGCCCATGTCCAGGATCTATCTGCGTGTGGTGGCTCTTGATGCACTGACTCCAGCCTCAGTCCACTCCTTGTGAAAGTCCCCAACACTTTTGAATGACCTTTTCTTGACAATCCTCTCCAGGTTGCGGTCATCCCTGCTGCTTATGCACCTTTTTCTTCCACACTTTTCCCTTCCACATAACTTTCTATTAATGTGCTTTGATACAGCACTTTGGGAACATCCAACTTCTTCTACAATTACCTTTTGAGGCTTTCCCTCCTTATGGAGGGTGTCAATGATGGTTTTCTGCACAACTGTCAGGTCAGCAGTCTTTCCCATGATTGTGATTCCTACTGAACCAGACTGAGAGACCATTTAAAGGCTCAGGAACCCTTTGCCGGTGTTATGGCTTAATTAGCTGATTAGAGTGGGACACACTTTGAGCCTAGAATATTGCACCTTTTCACAATATTCAAATTTTCTGAGATTGTGGATTTGGGGTTTTCATGAGCTGTAAGCCATAATCATCACAATTATGACAAATCACGGCTTGAACTATCTTGCTTTGCATGTAATGAGTCTATCTCATATATTAGTTTCACCCTTTAAGTTGCATTACTGAAATAAATGAACTTTTGCACGATATTCTAATTTTTCGAGTTTCACCTGTATATACCAGATTTTGTGCAGCCCTGCTGCCCTGTAGCAGTGGTTCTGCTCTAGGGTGGTCGGAAAGCAGTTAAAGAGAATAATGTGAAAACTGTATAACTTACAGACACTTGATCACTAGCATTTATTTTTAAGAGAATTTTACCCAAACATGGATGGAGAAAGATTAGGTACACATACATGAAAACTTGCCCTTTTTATTGATGGGACTTTGTACTTGATGTAATCTGCCTAGTTCCATTAAATTTCTAAAGATTTTAGTGGCTTTAAGGCAGGCAAGTAAATAGAGGAGTAACGGAAAAAGGATAGGCTTAAATGCTGCGTTTATCAAACCAAAGGGCCAGAGGCATGGTGGTAATAATTACTTTAGATCTACATCATCAACATCCAGTTAAAATGACAACACTGAACAATTCCTTATAAAATGGATTAGTAAAAAGTATTGTTAAAAAAAAAAATAAAAATATATATATATATATACATAAAGATGTAAGCAACCAAAACTTGGCTTAAATGTTACAAGTAGACATTAGACGAACATTCAATATCTCATCTATCAACCAGAAAGCACTAATACCGGAATTCAGCAGCATATACTCACCCTTGTAATGCTTTGTGGATACGCTTGCACTTTTCTCTTAACGTATAGAAGATTTCTGTTAAAAAAAAAAAAAAAAAAAAAACCCCTCTGTCAATGAATAACGCAGTTGTATAGAAAGAGCTACGCTGTTTTCAAATTCTGACAGCAGGTGTGGGGAAAGGATCTCTCGCCCGCTGTCACAGAAAGGGGGGGAGTGACTCCCCCAGAAGAGACAGGAGCTGGAACATGTTTAACCCTAAATACGGGTGGAATATGTAACATTTCCAAAGGTGAACTTATCCTTATTAAATTCCAACTGGTGATTTTGCCAGGAACACACTTTTTGTCCTGGGGTGAAAACACTCACTGTACTGTATCTATGGAGCAGCAACATTTTCACCCAAGGACAGAAAACGTGTTAGGACTAAAAACACAGGGAAGATGCTATATGGTTTACATTAGCAAGGCTGATAACAATGCTTGATATAAGACTGCAGAGTGAACAGGACACAAAACATCACTGGATTTCTGGCAGGATCAATAGGTAACAAATAGGAAAACAAATGCTATATTTAACAGACTAAAAGGGAGCAACTAAGAGAAATTTGTTGTTAGGCTTTACTTATACCTTACATTAGCCAATAAAGGGAATCAAACTCTCTCTGTATTGACCAACTACTCTTAGCACTGTTGCAATTTTCCATGGAAATGTATCTAGAATTACAATTTTACCAAAACTGAACAGATCATGCAGTGATAACCAGCAGTAATGTCCCGCCATATCTGTCTTGCCTACTCACGTTTCCAAATAGAAAGCTGTAAACACATTTTTTTTAAATCTAAAAAAAAGAGTGGCCACAATGAGTATCGCAGTGTCTATCCCCTGCAAAAATAGGATTTTTTATTTTTCTAAAGAATTTGCTGCACTATAAAAAAGGTGTCAACACTTTAGGGCCCGACTCCAGCTTTTAGTTTTGATTGACTTATTGGGGAAGTTTTAAAAGATCGAATTTTGATCCATTTATGGGCAGGCTGGTTGCACAGAAGCTGATCTACCGACCAGTCTGTAGCGTCAGCTATAGCAGGCAACACTGATCATTGTGTTCTGATGGAGGAGAAGGCCCCCCCCCCAAAGAACACAACATCACAGCATGAGTTATTCCCCCATCCACATAGAGTGTGTGGATGAGGGAATGGGTCATTTTTTTTTTTCCATTCAATCTGCTGGCTGACCAAAAAAAATGATTAATGTATGGCCAGCTTAAAAGAACATCTCAGTATATTGATGGCAATGAAACCCTGAATGAAAAGGCTTTAACAGTTCTCTGTTCCATCAAAGTCAAAATAAAAGGTTCTGGCTGGAGCTGGGGCTCAGAATGAATTTGATTAATCCACTTGATCAATCAAACCACAAAAAATTCAACCTGTGTGTTGAGTTCTTAAAGATCAGTATCAATCCATCTTTATTATTTGTTGAATCTAAAAAGAAGCAACAGTTCAGTTCAAATTATTTTTTTTTCCAGTCAGGTTTTAAAGTGTACAGTGTATCAAAAGTTTTTTAGTTTTAAGTGTGATGCTTAGAAATGCCATTTGCAATCAAATCTAAAGCCAATAAAAGCGGTAGTCGTGTAGAATTTAACAACAAATAAAAAACAAATGATAACTATGTGGCTTGCAGAATATTCCTTTTAATGAACACACTATAACAAAAATATATAGGCAAAGTATGCCAACATAAAAATGCTAGTTGCCTGGCTGAGAGGCCAATGTTCTGCCTTCATTATTTTCACTGACCAGGTATTCCATAAACTTAGAATTCCTGATCTGCATCTATCCCAGTGACTTGAACTGAAATTAGAGCATGATGGCAGAGCAACCTGAACTTTCAGGAGTGGTAGGCAACATTTTAATTTGAATAAGATCTATGGTATACAGCTGAGTCAAGAAACAAGCAACTTAAAATGTTGAATGTTTCAGGTACTTGCTGGTATCATTCACTGATGCAAAATACATACAATTGCAAAAATAAAAAAAAGGTACCTGAGCTTTCCTCCATAATGTTAAGACCTTCAATGGCAGCTGAAGCCAACAAAGGAGGCAGAGAGGCTGAGAAGCAGTAGCCTTGTCCAGAAAGTCTCTGTAACAATACGAGTCTAGTCAGGCAAAGTCACAATAAGGATATACAAGATGCTGACCAGTCTCTTTTATATCATGAATTGAGGAACATGCTATTCATACAAAGCCTAATAATAGTCACTAAGGGGGAGATTTACCAAAACTGGTGCAGCTGCGCATGGTAGCCAATCATCTATCTTCAGCTTGTTCAATTAGGCTTTGACACTAAAACCTGGAAGCTGATTGGTTTCTATGCAGAGCTGCACAAGATTTTGCACCATGCAGTTTTAATGGCTCGCCCCCATTCAGACCTTAGTCTGAATTACTAAAGGCTAATGCATTGTTCACTGTGCAAGTGAATTTGCCCTCAACGTCAGCGAATGAGGTGAGGCTCTGCTGACAATCGCTCCCTTGTGTGGGAGCCGAAAACCCACCCATCACACTTTGATGTCAATATGTCCCAACATCACTTCTGATTTTGGCCCTAGCACTGGCTTGCGTTCCAGTGCAGATATATTTGCTGCTGGAGGAAAACACAGCCTGTCATATGGACTTAATGTGCATTCTGACAGAGTTCAGATTTATACCACCTATCCTGCAGAGCTGTTTTAAGAATACATCTCATCCTTCCATCCACCTACCGTCCACCGAGGCTTGCCAGCGAATAAGGACTGATGATATGCCCATTTATTCTCATCCTTTTGAATGTATTCTAACCCTTTCCTTTACTTGTTTTTAATTAAATTGATACACTTAGATGGCGGCATCTTCTGTTTGTTTATTGTTTTAGTGCACAGAGATATCCAATACCCTGTTGGAAAAGCTGCAGCCATTATAGAAGTGGATTAACACACCTGGATCCACCATACAGAGACTACAGCTTCTTGCTTGGGACCTTAATCACACTTTCTCCATTTGCGCTAAAGAGTTTATGTTTTTGTAGTAAAACTTTGCAGGCTACGATCTTTCAAAGGCTTCATTTTTTTTGTTTAATCTGAATTTATTGAATGTTTATAGAAAAACTATTGAGGGATAGAGAATGAATAAATAAATTAAAAAAAAAAAAAAAAAAAAAAAAAAAAAAAAAGGAAGGAGGGAGGCAAGTGGATACACAAAGGGTATTTCAGAAGCAACACTCTTCAACACCACGAACATGTTGACTATATTTCTTCAGCTGCAAGGTAACTCACAGATGGGTATGTATGGTGGACTGAGGAGATCAATCAGGTAAAAGTAAATAAACATTCACACACACATTCACACACACACACACACACACACACACACACACACATTCACACACACACACACACGGGGAAAAATATCATGCTGGGTATCTATACTGATGTGGACTGGGTAATGTGTTAAGAACGGAAGGATGCCCCATTGTTTCATTGCAGCAACTAAAAATGGTAGTAGTTTGTATGGCCCCCCTGCATGCTTGTATGCATGCCGGACAAAGTTGGGGTGTGCTCCTAATGAAATGATGGATGGTGTCCTGGGGTATATCCTCCCAGATCTGGACCTGGGTATCACTGAGCTTCTGGACAGTCTGAGATGCAACCTGGCGGTGTCGGATGGACCGAAACATGATTTCCCAGAGGTGCTCTATTGGATTTTGGTCAGGTGAGCGAGGGGGCCATTCAATGGTATCAATTCACTCATGCGCCAGGAACTGCCTGCGTACTGTCGCCACATGAGGCTGGGCATTGTAGTGCACCAGGAGGAACTCAGGACCCACTTCACCAGTGTTGGATCTGAATGGGTCCAAGGATTTCATCCTGATACCGAATAGCAGTCAGGGTGCCATTGTCTAGCCTGTAGAGGTCTCTGGATATGCCTCCCCAGACCATCACTGACCCACCACCAAAACAGTCATGCTGAACGATGTTACAGGCAGCATACAGTTCTCCATGGCTTCTCCAGACCCTTTCACATGTGCTCACGGAGAACCTGCTCTCATCTGTGAAAAGCACAGGGTGCCAGTGGCAGACCTGCCAATTCTGGTGTTCAATAGCAAATGCCAATCGAGCTCGATGGTGCCAGGCAGTGAGCACAGGGCCAACTAGAGGATGTTGGGCCCTCAGACCAACCTCATGAAGTCTGTTTCTAATTGTTTGGTCAGAGACATTCACACCAGTGGCCTGCTGGAGGTCATTTTGTAGGGCTCTGGCAGTGCTCATCCTGTTCCTCCTTGCACAAAGGAGCAGATACTGTTCCTGCTGATGGGTTAAGGACCTTCTACGGCCTTGTCCAGTTCTCCTAGAGTAACTGCTTGTCTTCTGGAATCTCCTCCATGCTCTTGAGACTATGCTGGGAGACACAGCAAACCTTGTGGCAATGGCACGTATTGATGTGCCATACTGGAGGAGTTGGACTGCCTGTGCAACCTCTGTAGGGTCCAGGTATCACCTCATGCTACCAATAGTGACACTGACCCTAGCCAAAGGCAAAACTAGTGAAAAAACAGTCAGAAAAGAGGAGTAGGGAAAAAATGTCAGTGGCCTCCATCTGTAAAACCATTCCGGTTTCCTGGGTTGTCTCATTGTTGCCAATCTAGTGCACCTGTTGTTAATTTCATTAACACCAAAGCAGCTGAAACTGATTAACCACCCCCTCTGCTACTTAACTGACCAAATCAATCTCCCAAGAGTTTAATTGACTCTGATTCCTTTAAATTTTTTAGCAGTGTACAGATACACACACACACTTATATACAGTGGGTAAAAAATAAGTATTAAACATGTCACCATTTTTCTCTGTAAATATATTTCCAAAGGTGCTAATGACATGAAAGTTTCACTACATATCGGTAACAATCCATGCAATTCATACATACAAAGAAACCAAAACAAATAAGTTCAGAAATTAAGTTACGTGTAATAAAATGGAATGACATAGGGGAAAAGTATTGAACACCTGAAGAAAGGGAGGTGCAAAAAAGGCATGGAAACACAAGACACCAGCTGAAATCTATCAGTAATTAGAAAGCAATCCTTCCCCTTCTCAGTGCAAATTAATATTAGCTGGTTCAGTCTCAACTGATGGCCTATAAAAAGGTGTCTCATTACGAAGGTGTCAAACAAGAAACATCTCATGATGGTTAAAAATCAAGGAGCTTTCTCAAGACCTTCCCAACCTTACTGTTGCATAACATACAGATGGCATTGGTTACAGTTCCAGTGAGCACTATTTGGGCCATAATCCAGAAGTGGATTATCATTTCACCCATAAACAGGCCACGACCAGGTGCTCCCTGCAGGATATCTGAGTGAAAAGAATTATCAGAAGGGTTCTCCAAGAGCCAAGGACCACTTGTGGAGAGCTTCAAAAAAACATGGAATTAGCAGGTACAATTGTTTATAAAAAATAAAAAAAAAAGTAATGCACACAACCACCATGGCCTGTATGCACACTCACCACACAAGACTCCATTGTTGAAGAAAAAGCATGTCGAAGCTCATTTAACTCATTCTCGCTGGCGCCTCCCGGCCCTTTAAGAGTTTCAGAAGTCGGGAGGTAGGACAGGCGGGGTTTAGGGATCATGTGACCGCTGTGACGCGTCATCACGGCAGTCACATGATCGGGAAAGGTCCCGATCGAAAGTGCAGACCGGGTCCTTTCCGTGAGTACCGGACATGTGTGCTGGGGAGCGCGCAGGGTGTGCGATCTCATCACATATGTTTGTTAATTGCACCCAAATGTGCGGCCGCTCGGTGTCTAGGCCCAGACGCCAGGAGGCCGCACATTTGTGTGCTGCCGGCGTGAAGAGGTTAAAGTTTGCTGCACAACATTTAGACAAGCCTGTGAAATACTGGGAGAATATAGTCTGGTCAGATGAGACCAAAACTGAACCCTTTAGATGCCATAACACATTCCATGTTGGGAGGTCAAGTGGCACTGCTCATCACCCCAACAACACCATACCAACAATGAAGTCTGGAGGTGGGAACATTATGGTGTGGGCAGTTTTTCAGCATATAATACTGGCAAAACTTCATGTCATTGAAGGACGGATGAATGGAACATTCTTGATAAACATCTGCTCCATCAACCAGGTTGATGAAGATAAAACAAAGGTGGACAGTTCAGCAAGACAATGATCCCAAACACAAAGCCAAGGAAACGCTCTCAATTGGTTTCAAAGAAAGAAAATAAAGCTGATAGAATGGACCAGCTAATCACCTGACTTGAATCCAATTGAAAATCTATGGATATACATACATACATAAGGATAGAGATGTGGGGGAAGAAGAAAATGTTGGAGAAGAGGGGAGGGTGAGAAACAGGTGGGCTTATGTAAAGAAATGGGTGTGTATGCGCACTCATTCTATTTATTTTTAACATTGGGAAGCAGTATTTAACCAAGTTGACAGTCTAACACATTGGGGTTGATTTACTAAAAGGTAAATATACTGTGCACTGCAAGTAAAGTTGCTCTAAATCTCAGGGAAAGCTCTGCTGATTTCTGTCATCAAATTGTGTGCAAGCAAAACGTGTTTTTTTTTTAAATTTTCCTTGCATGTGATTCGATATTTTTGCAAAGTGAAGTTTTACCTCATTTCTAAGCTCTGGAGCAACTGCACTTGCAGCGCACAGTATATTTGCCTTTAGTAAATCAGTCCCTATATGTTGAAGTTAGGCTTATAAAACAGCTGAAGAAATGACTGAATTTCTGTGAATAGGACTTAGTGGAAATCCAGTCAAAATTGGAAATTTGCCCATGACTACTATGTTAACCATCTTTAATTCTGATATTATTCCTTTTTTTTAGCTTGGTGACTGTCTAGCTTAGAAAGTCTAATCTGAGCTAGACAATCAGCAGTCTTCTGTTCAAATGTTTGCTTGCTCAGCTGAATTTGACAGTTCTCAGGCACTTCCTGAAACGGTTGTGGTATCTTTGAGAGATCCAGCAGAGGTTTGAGTGAACCCGCCCCTGTCCTTCCCAGTCCCACCCAGCACCACCCCATCCCTCCCAGCCATCGGCAGAACGTGCAGTTTAGCAGAGAAGCTGGTGGTGAGAAGTGAGCCACTGCAAAGCTAGCTCACCTCTCACCACCAGCTTCCCTGCTAAACTCTGCTATTACAGCCACTTATCTGCTGAACTTTGGTCCCAGTAGATCCTTCTCTGAGCATGACAAGCATTATCTTCCCTTACACAGAGTGAGTGCATTATATTAATCCTTTACTTCCCATTAAACTTCTACACTTAGATTGCACATTTCTGGTTTGTTTGCAGCTGCAACCACCAATATAGTGACTTTTTGTTATCCACCCACCCATTTTTGTTTTTAGCATTAAAGGGCACCATTCAGCAAAGTAATTTTTTTTATCCTTTTACGTAAAGCACACTGCACAGGTATATAGCAACACACACACTACAACCTGGAATCCAGGGGATATTACTGCACAATTTGAGTTATACTCACACTACAAGGAGGAATTGTGTGGAGTTTTCTGCTTGTTGTGCATTACACCCCATTCTACAAGGTGGAATCATGTGGTGTTACGGTATAGTGTTAATTGTAGACTGTGAGCTGAGTTGGGACCCCGGATCATTTCCACCGATAGTTCCCCCTGCATCTAGCTCCCTTCTCCTCTGGTAGTCTTTATTCAAAGCCCTGCATAGCTATACTGTATATGTGCAATGACCTTCTCAGCCCTCCTGTGTCCTGTGTGAATGGTTCTTTTTTATCTTTTAAATTTTCTCATGAATGAAAATGCACAAAGCACCTTATTCATGAAAGAGCATTGACCAGAGAACCTATGATCAGCTCCTCTCATCCTGTATATGCCCACTGGCTACACAGAACAGTGTCATTGTGGAAGTGATGTCACTAGCCTTTAATAAACACACCCACTGGCTGCTCTTGGACTCAGAAGGGAGAGGGATTGAAGTCATGTGACAGGCACTGAATACTGTAAAATAAAGGTATAAAAACAGTTTTGTTTTGTTTTGAGACATAAGGCTGACCTTTGTTTATATTAATGCTTGTAAGGGAGAATTTAAGTATTAGGCTTTTCTTCCACTTTAAGTAATCATAACAGTTACCAGTGTTGCCAGTTAACCTGTCACAAATCTTTATTTCAGAGATCGATGTTAAGTGGTATGCTGGAGAGAAACAGAAATCGGGTATATATCCAGGGCAGAGGGAGTCTTTTTTTAGCAATATGTACTCAAATGCTTCTGTCATTTTTAGCAAACAGGTTAAACTTCAAATGAATACAAACCTGGTGATCAATAACAAATGATCGGCCACAGCAAAAACCTCCGATCGAAGCCAAAGCATTCTCCATGTTTGCACTGATCAAATCAATGTCATCAATCTGAGGAAATGAATAAAAATAGTTGAGTTGACATCTATTTTATACAATGAACTGATTAATGAGATCACTGGTCTTCATCACTCAAATTCTATCTACCATTAATGCAGAAACTGGTGCTCTAAGCTCTCTCTAATACAGGCCATATGCCAATAGAGAACAAATGCCAGACAATTAGCCAGGCAATGTGTACTGAAGGAGAAAATGAAGGTTCAGGTCAGTGTCCTGAGCCCCCTGCAGCAGAGATCACAAGTGGTACTATTTCAGTATGGGTCTATTTTACTAGATCTCCAGCTACTTCTCTTTGTAAAGACCATAAACAAATTACAATAAATAACATTGTGTTCAGAGATGTAAAACAAATGTAAACAGCAGAATAACAATGTGTATTAGTTACATGGGGATGTAAGACAGGGTTGGAAATTTTATGATTTTTTTTGGATGCGATAAAAGTGGTTATCTGAACTCTATTACAGTGGAATATTCCTTTTATTCCAGATAAAGAGTAGGGGAAGGAAAATATGCCATTCATTTTTTACTTTTTTTTTATCCCACTATTTGATTTAAGCACAATACACTGAAAACATAACACTATTCTAAAGCAGCTTAAGTTTGTACAGTAGATCTATGAAATCCCTTTCTACAAAAAACAGACCCAACAGTTTGCTGAAAAGGAAATTTGTGACAATGCCATAAGACCGGAAGCTTTCTACTGCAAATAATAACTCTATAAATCAGTTTTAATTGGCTAGGGATCAATGCTGGCAGGTTTGGATTACAGATTTATAGAACACTTCTTTTGGAGACCCCATCGCTTACCTACACTTAGTAAGGATTTATAACTAGGGTTCATAGTTAAATAATGACTGTTTTGTGTAAAAGTTCCAGAAAGCACCGAACCAGTTTCCTAGCACATTTCAAGGCATACATCGGTCTACGCTATTCTTCATGAGAACACAAATGGACTGAACAGTAATTTAATGGCCATAAAATTGATATCAATTTCCTCTGCTGAAAGAAAAATGAAATCATGTTCTTTAATTTGAAATATTTCTACTTTGTTAATGCCTGGGAACACATTTAAAAAGGCAAAAGTTTCTTTAGCAGTTTTATTTCTAAAGAAACATACATGCAAGAATCCTACTTAAAAAATTACATCTGTTGTACCAACTATTTATTCCTTTCATCGTTAGACAAAAAAAACTCTGCTAAAAAAGGTACAAGAAGCCAAGACTAGTATTACAATATTTTTAGTTCCTTTTCTGCCACCTGTTTGATTGTTTCTTGTATATAAACATTGTCAGCTGTGTTTAAACTACTTATATTTATTTGCAGTCACTTCAGCTACCACTATCTTTTTGCAGTAACAGGTCTCACTGTTGCAGTGAAATGCAGGAAGGACATACAAAAATTATGTTAATGAGCGTGCAAATATGCATATACATCACTGACACATGAACACTGCTTTATCTTTAAAACCAACAAGAATCGGAATATATAACAAAAGTCGCTAATGAAGTCTGGGAATGGTGTGTGTGGTCCTTAGCTGACAAAGACATTCTACATTCCCAAATATAGCTTAACAAAATCCCTATACTAGTTATCCCCAGGCAGTGGCTCTGAGCTGCTCTGTACTCACTAGCTGCGTGTGTGCGTGCATTCTTTTTATATCACTTATCACACCTGAAAAATTCCAAAAAAAATTCCAATTATAAACACTTAAAAATAAATTATTCCAAAAAAGTATCCTCAGACAAAAAAAACTTTTCTATAAAACTTGTTTGGAGCAATAAAAGAACCCCCATTTTATTTATTTTTTTTTTCTGCTGAGTGTCACTGGTTAGACTAGACCACACACACACCTTGTCATGCTGAAAATGTCACTGTAGCAGAAAGTGAAAGGAAATGTCCTATGGAGACTTATGCAGGCCATAGATGGGGAGAAAAACGGCAGATTTTCGGCCGATTAACGAACTATCGGTCGGTCTAAAAAACTTACCTGACCACCAATTATTACGAAAATCGGCCGATTAATGAGTAACCTATAACGGGAAATGATGTCATTTTGTGGCCTTTGTGATCCTTTTTCGGAAAACGATCGTTCGTTTTTGACCATCAATGAGGATAAAGTCGGGCGTTTTTTTCGAAAAAATTTTCCAACATCACCGATAATCCGAAAGTCCAAAATACACGAAAAACGGCCGACAAAATCGTCCACTAACGATAAGATAATCGGCCGGTTTTATTTTCGGACGAAAAATCGGCCGTTTTTCTCTCCATCTATGGCCTGCATTAGGGCCAGTTCACACTACATGCTTTTCAATTGCTTTTTTTTTTCTGCATCCAAAACACACAAAAAGTAGGTTATAAGGTTGACAATGTCATAGTTCAAATCCGCACGTTCCTAACTCCAGAAACCACTAAACAGCTCATCCACTCCCTCATCATATCGCGACTCGACTACTGCAACTCCCTCCTCACTGGCCTGCCTCGCCGCTGGCTATCCCCGCTTCAGTCCATCCTGAATACGGCTGCCAGACTCATTCACCTTTCCAACCGCTCCGTTTCCGCCACCCCCCTCTGCCAATCCCTCCACTGGCTTCCGATTGCGCAACGGATCAAATTCAAAATCCTAACACTGACGTACAAAGCTGTCCACCATACTGCCCCGAACTACATCACTGACCTAATATCCAAGTACCGCCCCCAGCACGCACACTCTCCGCTCCTCACAAGACCTCCTTCTCTCTAGTTCCCTGGTCTCCTCCTCCCCCATGCCCGCCTCCAGGACTTCTCCAGGGTGTCACCCATCCTCTGGAACTCCCTGCCCCAACCCATCAGATTATCACCTACTCTCCTCTCCTTTAGGCGCACCCTGAAAACCCATCTCTTCAGGGAAGCCTACCCCGCCCCCTGCTAACTTGCCGACCTCCTCCACTCTTCCTACCACTCCATCCCCCACAGCTATCTCCTCCTGTGCCACCATCCCCTCCCTCCTAGATTGTAAGCTTGAAAGAGCAGGGCCCTCAATCCCCTCATGTTTTGCATTGTATTGGTATTGTTCTGTCACATGTTCTGTCCCCCTTTGTAATGTACAGCGCTGAGCGAACTATTGGCGCTTTATAAATACTGAATAATAATAATAATAATAATATCAGCGCTTGCAGTTTCAGTGTGTTCCAGTTGCAGAAAAAAAAAAGCATTTTTTTCTGTACAGAACCGTACTGGAATATGGAAACGCATCTGGAACACACCAGAACGCACTAAAATGCACCAAAAATGCACTGGAACGCACAGGTCCCTATTTAAATGGAAGAAAAAAGAAGGGAAAAAAATGCCCCGGAATGCACCAAAAACGCATCTGGACTACGTTTTTTAGTGTGAACTGACCCTTAGACAACAATAAAGTCAACAGGTTTCTAGCCTTTCCAAACCTTAGTAATGAACATGTTTTTATTTCTATTGGGTTAGAGAAATGTTTTCCCATCCTAGTTAGAAAGCTATCACTAGGGGGGCGTGGCTTGGAGCTTGAGCCGCATGGCAGCACACTGAGTGAGCTCTGGGAAGAAGTCAGCTTTTGAGCCATTTAAGCGGTACACAGCAGGACGATCATGGGCAGGATCGTTAAGCCCACTTCACACAATCGCCCAAAACAGGAAGAAGGGTCAGCCGCACACCAGAGGATAGATGAATCTAGTGTGTATTTATTGATCCATAGCACACGCAAAACACCAGGACATGAATACAGGACTTAACGCGTTTCACACGATCTCGCGCTTAATCATAACCACACAAAATCGCCCACACCACTCTTATTTCGGGTATTCAACACGACAGATCCAGGATCTTTTTCGGAATAGAGGCACACAGAGGAGCAGCCCTGCTGGGAGCAAGATGGCGCCTATACAGCATGAGGAAGTTCACAGTGAGGAGTCTCTGCCAGCATCTGAGGATAGGGTAAGAGAGGACACTCACCCCGATCCACCACTCACATATTGACACAGATCAATGCACATCTGAAGAGATTGTTCACAGCTGCCATAACCGATTTGAAGGAAGATCTCTTATCTCTCTCTCTGAGCAATTGATAACTGTGCAGAAGGCTGGTGCTTATAGGGACAGGGCGATCTCTAGGCTGGAGAACGTTTCTGAAACACATGCCACACACCTGATTAATGTGAATCGCCGCTTAGAAGATCTAGATAACAGAGGGAGACGGCATAACAGAGTCAGAGGTGTCCCTGAATCTGTGTCTGCTGAACAGCTCATGTCAGCCTTACAATCCATCTTCAATAATCTTTTAGAGCAGCCTGCGGACACTGTCACTGTCTCCTAGAGACATTATTTGATGTATTGTCAATTTCACACAGAAAGAAGAAATCCTTAAAACAGTCTGGCAAAATGAGCTCATTACTTTTAATGGTGATGAACATGCCCTCTTTCAGGATCTCTTCCCTATTACGCTGAAAAATAGAACAACATTACTCCCCCTACTGGCCATTATGCAGGAGAAGGGGATTCTTTACAGATGGCGGGTTCCTTTTGCCTTACAAGTGACTGTGAACGGCAAACACCATCTGCTCAGACTGCCTGTTGACCTTTGGGGTTTCTGTGATGACCTCCAACTTCCACATGTGGAACTTCCTGAATGGTATGAGGATTTCCATCAGCAGTGCCTCTCATTGCACACACGCCTACGTAAACCCCTTCCAAAGCACAGTTCAGGAAGACCAGGCACCAGAAGCAGGCCGGTCCAGGCTCCAGTTTGTCTTCTCCAAAGTCCAAACAGCGCAGAGCTATAGAGAATTTTGATGATACCTGACTGTGCTTAGTCAATTTGTGTCCTTTCTTCTCTTTTGAAGACCTTACTGTCCTCTTTCAGAAGGATGAGGTGTTGGGGGTTCACATGTTGGGGGGGGGGGGGGGGGGGGGTCTTTCATGCGGCTAACCACCGCGGTCTGGCCTCCCTGGAT